GTAGCTTGAACTACAGGCACGCGCTACCACGCCCAGCTAATTTTTGATTTATTGTAGAGACGAGGTCTCGCCAAGTTGCCCAGGCTGGTCTCGAACGCGCAGGCTCAGGCAGTCCACTCACCTGGACCTCCCAAAGTGCTGGGATTACAGACTGAGCCACTGAACTTGGCCTTTCTTTTTTTTTTTCCCCCTTTTTTAAAGAGACATGAATTTTGTTTTTCAGGTTTGAGTGCAGTGGTGCAATCACAGCTCACTGCAGCCTCAAACTCCTGGCTCAAGCAATCCTTCCACCTCAGTCTCTGAGTAGCTCAGACTACAGGTATGTGCCACCATGCCCAGGTAATTTATTTTGTGTAGAGATAGGGTCTCACTGTGTTGCCCATGCTGGTCTCAAACTCCTTGCGTCAAGCGATTCTCCTGCCTTGGCCTCCCAAAGTTCATGCCTGAGATTATAGGCCTAAACCACTATGCCTGGGTAGTACCATCCTTGGACCCAGGAAGGAGAAGCCACTTGCCTGGATCTTGTACCTTAAAGAGCCCACACTTTGTTCTGTTTCGTGTGAATACTAACCAGGATGTACCCTTTCTTCTCTGGCTACCTTACAAGGATTGTTGAGAGAATCAATGAGATAACAATTGTTAAATTGTGTAGTACAATGTTCTCGATCTCATTATTCTCTGAATATCTTTCATGAGTGTCTAGAAATCCTAGAATTCCTTGACCAAATGGCTGGAGTGCAGTGGCAAGCTCACAGCTACCCCAGCATCGACCTGCTGGGCTCCAGTGATCCTTCTGGAGCAAATGGCATTTTGTTCACATCCAGGACCTGCAGGGACCTTTTCTCCCCATCCATCCTTCCAAGGGGGAATTGCAACACTAAGGTATGCACCCTCAAGGCCCAGTGGTAGCTAAGCAGTGGCTGCTTAAAGGGAGAAGGGTTAGTGCTTAAGGATGTGAGTGAAGTTATTTCACGCATGCATGCAAGATCCTGCACAGTGTTGGTCAGATCAGAGTCGTGGGAAGACATAAGAGAAAGGGAGTGGGCTGGAGCCAGGGGCCATCTCTTCCTGCTCTGTCACAGTGTGGCACTGAATTTCAAAGGTGTGAGTTCCAAACCCAAACCAGGCCTTCCAAGTGGCCAAGAAGTTATGTCTGTCAAGGTAAGAAGACAGAAGATATTTTACTCATCAATCAGCTGGCCTAACTAGTTAGCTTAAAATATTTAGAAATATAGTCTATAGGCCTCTACTGTACTCTTGCTTGGGGCCTAAATATGTTAGGGGCAGACTTGGTGTCCAGTTCCCACCTGCAGTTTCACCCTCAGGTAAAGGCCCCTCAAGGTTCCCACACCACCCTAAAACTTGTCTTTAAATCTTCCTGATTGATATCTAGATCTGTCATTTTAGGAGGTTTCCAGGTAAGGCAATGTAGAATGGCATCTCGTTTTCCTCAGCCATCAAAAAGGAAGTTAGACTTTTAGCTTCAAGGCAATTAACTTGGGGCAAAGAAAGCTTCCCTTAAAGGTGATAACAAGAGTCTCACCACCCTCCCACATCCACGTTTCTCCACAACATGCTCCAAGTAAACTGATATTACTGGTGAGTGAGTGCAACAATTGTGTTTTAATATTATGTGCCAGGTAAGCAGAAGGAAGGCATTGATATTACTATCTCTATCTTAGAGATACCAAGGTGTTGCCCAAAAGGGAAGGCCACAGTTCATGCAGGACAAGTAGCCATGAGACACTGAGGTTTACGCTAACTCTTGAGTAGACATAGCAAGGAATCAGGTTGGGTCTAAACTGCTGAAAATATGGATGCACACTCCACATCTCTGGAGAGAAAAGGATGTGAGATGGGTTATCAAAATAAACTAGGCCTTCCTTTCTCTTTAGATAGGTCTACCTCTCAGTCGGATTCTAAAGTCAGATCCATCATCAGCGACACTGAATTAAAAGATTCCCCTCTTCTTCCTCCCCACCCTCTCCCTCCTCTACACCAGCACATCAGTTCCTGGGAATCCCATCTGGTCCAGCCTAGCCCAGCTCTTTTCTCTCTCCAGAGGAAGCTGGGCCTGACTGAAGTAATGTCATGCTTTTGAACCCCCTCCCCTGAGGGGCCTCCTTCACCCAGACAAACAGTTTTGAACTTTTCCAGATGTGAAAAGAGACCTGCTGCTGGTTCTGAGGACAGAGGTGCCTGTTCCAGAAAAGCAAAGTAACTCTGGACCCAGGCCAGCCACCGACCCACTGGGGCTGGGCTCCCAGCTGCAGCAGCCGCCTCCACCTACTGCCAGGCCAAGCAGAGGAACAAGGAGCAGGATCCTCCTGCATTATAAAAACAATGGGACCCTGACTACGGATTCAGGCCCTGAGCCTAAGGTGAGCAGAGCAGATGCTGAGACGCCAGAGGAACAGGACAAGCAGAGGGGAGAAAAGAAAGTTTGGGTGACTGGGTGTGCCTGAGCTAGTGCAGAGCAAGGGGACACTCTGGCCAGGGGCCTAGAGCCAATCCTGACAGTGCAAGGACTATCAGTGAGTGAGTCTTTTGGGTTCATGTTCTCTAGAGCTCCCTTTATGGTGTTCTCATGAAGAGATCGGGCCCTAAAGGAGCGACATTTATAAGAGTCAAAACTGACCATGGATCTTTTTATCCTGTCTTCCCAAACATATCCATGGCATTAAAACATCAAACATTGACCTACTTTATTGGCCCTCCCGACCCCCAATTCTGTAGGGGAGTAGCAGCAGCTTACCAGTCAGTGAGAGCTTGTCAGATTCTAAGAGACAATTGAGGAAACCTCTACTCCTTTCCACTCTACAAGGAGGAACAGCCCTTAAAGCAACCCTACTAAGAATTACACCACAACTTAAAGTTGAAGTTAACAAAATGAGGATTTTAAGATGCCAAACAGATGTTACAAAATTCATGTAGTAAAAGTCATGCATCGAA